ATAGGTCTTGTTGTGGTGGTGGTGGCGGCTACGGTGGTTGTGGTGGTGGTGGATGGTTGTGGTTGTGGTGTAGGGAGAGGAGAAGCGGTGGCGGGGTCGACCAAGCTACCTCCAACATGCTTCCATCACCTTCAATGTAGTCACCAGTTCTCTTTCTGCCCCCCTCTCCTTCCCTCTCTCTCCTCCCCTCGCTCTCCCCTCTCTTCTTCCTCTCTTTTCCCTTTCTCTTCGTTCCACTCTGCTCTCCTTCCTCTCCCTCCTTCCCTCCTCCCTCTATCCTCCGTCCCTGTCTCTTCTTTATCCATTTTCACTCTCCCGTTATCTCTTTTCTCTCATTTTTCTGTTATTTCCCATATTTTCAATCTTTCCCTTTTTTCCCTCTTCCATCTTCTCTCCTGGCTCCTATTCTATTTATCTTCCTTGGTGCATTTATTATTTCTCCATCCCAGTTCTTCTCTCTCCCCCTTATTCTCTTTGGCCTTCTCTTCTCCATCTATCCTCTCTCTCTCTCTCTCTCTCTCTCTCTCTCTCTCTCTCTCTCTCTCTCTCTCTCTCTCTCTCTCTCTCTCTCTCTCTCTCTCTGTCGAAGTGTCGACGGCTCTCTGGTAGTCAAGGAAGAGGCAGGTCTGCCCACTCTTGGGGTGTCTATGACAGTTCTCTAGAAAGTTTCTTGTGGACGATTGTGGTCTCTAGTTCAGTGGCTCTTGTCTCCCCCGAGTCTGGTATATCGACACCACACAGTAGGTTCCTCTGGTAGTTCACCTCTCGCCCCACCCACGGGTACTTGGACAGGTCTCGGAGGGTAGAAAGATTGTTTGCACATCTTAAAGTTTCAAGCTGCAGTCTTGTCTGAGGAGCTTCTTGGGCGCCAGCACGCCGCCCCCGAGTCTCTTCCGTGGCGATGGTGGTGGTTGGGGGGGGGGGGAGGGGAGGGTGGTAGGGGAAGGAGGGGGGAGGGGGAATGGTAGGGGGGGAGGGGTAGGTATCTAGCATCAACAACGCTCTCTAAAGCAAGCCCTGCGGTAACTCATCCAGCCCCTCATTCATCCATTGACACGGCTACTAACTCTTCTACGAGCCCCTCATTCATCTACTGACACGGCTACTAACTCTTCTACCAGCCCCTCATTCATCTACTGACACGGCTACTAACACTTCTACCAGCCCCTCATTCATCTACTGACGGCTACTAACACTTCTACCAGCCCCTCATTCATCTACTGACACGGCTACTAACACTTCTACGAGCCCCTCATTCATCTATTGACACGGCTACTAACTCTTCTACCAGCCCCTCATTCATCTACTGACACGGCTACTAACTCTTCTACCAGCCCCTCATTCATCTACTGACACGACTACTAACACTTCTACGAGCCCCTCATTCATCTACTGACGGCTACTAACACTTCTACGAGCCCCTCATTCATCTACTGACACGGCTACTAACTCTTCTACCAGCCCCTCATTCATCTACTGACACGGCTACTAACTCTTCTACCAGCCCCTCATTCATCTACTGACACGGCTACTAACACTTCTACCAGCCCCTCATTCATCTACTGACACGGCTACTAACACTTCTACGAGCCCCTCATTCATCTACTGACACGGCTACTAACTCTTCTACCAGCCCCTCATTCATCTACTGACACGGCTACTAACACTTCTACGAGCCCCTCATTCATCTACTGACACAACTACTAACACTTCTACGAGCCCCTCATTCATCTACTGACACAACTGCTAACACTTCTACGAGCCCCTCATTCATCTACTGACACAACTACTAACACTTCTACGAGCCCCTCATTCATCTACTGACACAACTACTAACACTTCTACCAGCCCCTCATTCATCTACTGACACGGCTACTAACACTTCTACGAGCCCCTCATTCATCTACTGACACAACTACTAACACTTCTACCAGCCCCTCATTCATCTACTGACACGGCTACTAACACTTCTACCAGTCCCTTATGGGTTATTACTTCTACTACCATTCCTTTCATGGGGTCGCTACTACCACCTTCCCTCATTCATAGATCATCACTATCACCTCCACCACTATCGAGTCGCTAGAAATCCTTCCATTCATCGGTCCTGCCACGTGTGGTCATTCACACACCGTATTCCAGCCGCAATAACCACCTGTTGACACCTTTTGTTTACTAATAATAACTTGAACTTTTAATAGCGAACTGTTTATCAGCGTCCTGGATCACAATGGCTTCAGCTGTGCTTTTCAAGCTCCATTGTCAACCTGGGCTGATGAGTGGACGAATTAGCGCACTATTGTGTATGTGTATGTGTTTTTTTGGGGTCTGGGGATGTATATAACTATTGTGGGGTTATATATATATATATATATATATATATATATATATATATATATATATATATATATATATATATATCTGGGCCTGGTTTTTGTGGGTGTATAACGCGAGTGTTTGTGTGTGTTTGTCCTTTTGGGTGTGTTTATGTGGGTGTGTGTGTGTGTGTGTACGTTCGTGTGTGTGTGTACGTGGTTGTGCTTACTAGCATGTGTTCGTGTATGTGTGTGCATGAACGTGTGTGTGTGTGTGTGTGTGTGTGTGTGTGTGTCTTCAGACGCACATGATAACCAAAGTCCATCAAGCACTGTACACAGTGCCCAACACTTTTCTCGTAGCAAGCCCCCTGCAGCGTCACTGTAGCGTCACTGTATCTGTATCTTTTTGTAGCGGTAAGCTGTAGTGTAGCGGGGTACAGGTCAGGGTTTCTTTTAGACTTTGAAATGTCGATTTTGTAAACACTGTGGTCGTCTTAACCCCGTCACACCTCCGTCACATCTCCGTCACAACCCCGTCACATTCCCGTCACACAGGCGCAGGTCAAGTGCCCTCGGAGGACTGGTCTCCCAACTTGTCCTTTTTCGAGAGGTTTTCTGTGCCAGGTAAGACCATTTAGGGGATCACCATAGCCTGTGCTACTTGGAACTCCCCTTTCTTCAGAGTACCTGAATCTTAAACGACAACAAAGGTTCACTTTGCGCTTCCACGAGCCTCTTTAAAGTTAGAAAAATTCCTGTGGCACTCTCGGCAAGGTGCCATTACTATTCTACTAGTAGACAGTGCCTATGAGGTTGAGTCTACCGTTGGTAGATTTCAATTGGCCGTCAGCTTGTGAGAATCTTGCTACGACGCCAAACACCAGGGCGTAGACCACTAGACTACGAAGGATATTACCATTAATAATCTAAAATTATTATCTGAAATTTTTTTGGGGAGTTTTAAGACAAATTAAAGTACGATTAGTTTAGTATTAATTAATTTTAATTTATTAATTAATTTTAATTTATTAATTAATTTATCAATTTCTTTGTACACATTGTCAGTGATATATTTACTAAACCAGAGATTAATTCGACCTTCTATATAAACGTTTTTAAATATATATATATTTACGTTTCTATATACAAGCTGCTATATCTAGATGCTTTTTAATATATACTGCTTTTGTTGTATGTTTTTTTTTTATTTATTGTGCTCTATGTATGACCAATGAACAGTGTTCTTCAGGGTGTTCAAGAGTTCTGAAAGATTTGTCAGTAATGATGTTATGTTAGACTCTTTTACCAGACAGTTCCCAGTCATTCTACTCTGACAGTTCCCAGTCATTCTACTCTGAAAGTTCCCAGTCATTCTACTCTGACAGTTCCCAGTCATTCTACTCTGAAAGTTCCCAGTCATTCTACTCTGACAGTTCCCAGTCATTCTACTCTGAAAGTTCCCAGTCATTCTACTCTGACAGTTCCCAGTCATTCTACTGTGACAGTTCCCAGTCATTCTACTCTGAAAGTTCCCAGTCATTCTACTCTGAAAGTTCCCAGTCATTCTACTCTGAAAGTTCCCAGTCATTCTACTCTGAAAGTTCCCAGTCATTCTACTCTGAAAGTTCCCAGTCATTCTACTCTGAAAGTTCCCAGTCATTCTACTCTGAAAGTTCCCAGTCATTCTACTCTGAAAGTTCCCAGTCATTCTACTCTGAAAGTTCCCAGTCATTCTACTCTGAAAGTTCCCAGTCATTCTACTCTGAAAGTTCCCAGTCATTCTACTCTGAAAGTTCCCAGTCATTCTACTCTGAAAGTTCCCAGTCATTCTACTCTGACAGTTCCCAGTCATTCTACTCTGAAAGTTCCCAGTCATTCTACTCTGACAGTTCCCAGTTATTCTACTCTGACAGTTCCCAGTCATTCTACTGTGACAGTTCCCAGTCATTCTACTCTGACAGTTCCCAGTCATTCTACTCTGACAGTTCCCAGTCATTCTACTCTACCAGTTCCCAGTCATCCTACTCTACCAGTTCCCAGTCATTCTACTCTACCAGTTCCCAGTCAGTCTACTCTGACAGTTCCCAGTCATTCTACTCTACCAGTTCCCAGTCATCCTACTCTACCAGTTCCCAGTCATTCTACTCTGACAGTTCCCAGTCATCCTAGTCTACCAGTTCCCAGTCATTCTACTCTACCAGTTCCCAGTCATCCTAGTCTACCAGTTTCCAGTCATCCTACTCTACCAGTTCCCAGTCATCCTATTCTTCCACCCAGTTCCCAGTCATCCTATTCTACCACACAGTTCCCAGTCATCCTATTCTACCACACAGTTCCCAGTCATCCTATTCTACCACACAGTTCCCAGTCATCCTATTCTACCACACAGTTCCCAGTCATCCTATTCTACCACACAGTTCCCAGTCATCCTATTCTACCACACAGTTCCCAGTCATCCTATTCTTCCACACAGTTCCCAGTCATCCTACTCTACTCACCCTTCTGAGACCATCCACTCATCTAACTCCCTGTATATATCCTAACAAGGCAATTCATCTTTATGTTTATCCTCCTTGAAGCCCTTGGACGGACTGAACGACCCGACTGAGTGACCGTGGGGCGAGGGAACGAGCAGTTCAGGAGTTACCACTAACCAGCTTCTCTCTCTGGCGTGTGTTTCAGGTCACTACCCAAGCTGAGTAGCCAAGATGACGACGGCCCCAACACGCAGACCAACTACACAGGGACCGGCAACTTCGAGCCCATACCACACGACCACGACTTTTGTGAGAGAGTCGTTATTAACGTGAGTTGTTCCTGGTCGTACTGCTGTTTTTTGTCCTTGTGTGTCCCCGAGTGTGTGTGTGTGTGTGTGTGTGTGTGTGTGTGTGTGTGTGTGTGTGTGTGTGTGTGTGTGTGTGTGTGTGCGTGTGTGTCCCCGAGTGTGTGTGTGTGTGTGTGTGTGTGTGTGTGTGTGTGTGTGTGTGTGTGTGTGTGTGTGTGTGTGTGTGTGTAATTGTCTAAGTGTAGTTACAGGATGAGAGCTACGCTCGTGGTGTCCCGTCTTCCCAGCACTCTTTGTCATATAACGCTTTGAAACTACTGACGGTCTTGGCCTCCACCACCTTCTCGTGTGTGTGTGTGTGTGTGTGTGTGTGTGTGTGTGTGTGTGTGTGTGTGTTCGAGTGTGTGTGTGTGTGTGTGTGTGTGTTCGAGTGTGTGTGTGTGTGTGTTCGAGTGTGTGTGTGTGTGTGTGTGTGTTCGAGTGTGTGTGTGTGTGTGTGTGTGTGTTCTCTCTTCTGCTTTCTTCTCTCTTCATTCTCGTTCCTCCTGCTCCTCTTTTCTCTGCTAGTTTCGTCATGCATGTCAGTTGCTGGCGGGGTTCATTATTTGTGCTGTGTTCCCTGATTCTCTATTTTCTTTATTCTTTCTCTCTTCCTATTCCTTTACCTGCTATGGGCAATGCTTCCTACCACCATCCACAACCATCCCGATCACTCTGATACCACTACCAGTTAATACCACTCACATCTACTACTTAAAGACGAGGGTTAAGTATCATCACCACAACCACTCACCAAAGTCCACTCAACCACGTCCAAACCTTTGGTTACTTCCACCTACCACTAATACACTACTACTACTACTAACACTTAACACCACCAGACACCACTACCACCTTATATACATCTTGTAACAATCGGCACTAATCACCATTGCCACTTACCACTACCACCAACACTACCTACAACAGTTATCTTTCAGTACCACCTACATCACCACCACCTTACAACTACCACCATCACCAACAACCACCACCCACCACCAGCTCTTTCCCTACCATCGCATATTTTTGCTAAGACCGTCTACAATAGCCTTCATCACAGCCTCTAGGACGGTCAAGAGGCATCTTCAAGAGGTGGGTATGCTTGTGTCTTCAAGTGTGGGTATGCTTGTGTCCTCGTCTACTGTGGGTATGCCTGCGGCTTGTTCTACTGGGTATGCTTGCGTCCTCGTCTAGTGTGGGTATGCCTGCAGCTTGTTCTACTGGGTATGCTTGCGTCCTCGTCTAGTGTGGGTATGCCTGCGGCTTGTTCTACTGGGTATGCTTGCGTCCTCGTCTAGTGTGGGTATGCCTGCGGCTTGTTCTAGTGGGTATGCTTGCGGCCTGGTCTACTGGGTAGCCTGGTAGACAAAAAGACTCGATTCCTACTCTCAGGAGTCATTATTTCACCTTATATATGAATGATAACAACTTGTAGTGGATCTAAACGAAGGCATTTCTTGGGTTGACCCGCGCGAGGTGGTCTTAATTCGCAGAGGTCTTAAGAAAAGACTATATATGCCTCATCTATGCAGGAAATCTATATATATATATATATATATATATATATATATATATATATATATATATATATATATATATATATGATGATATTTTGTTTTTCTCTGCCTCGCGGATGGGAATGGGGAGGGTTTCCGTACCTGTGCTGGATCCGAACGAAGGCTTGTTATTCTGTATATATATATTTCTGGACGGGAATTAAATATTCTGCCCGCTTTGGGAGGAAATAAAGTAGTGGTCACTGTGCATGGGGGTCCTTTTTTTCCCCTCTTGATCTGGACATATTTTATAATGCATTAGATTTATTTTTTTCTCTCCGGAAAATAAGAAAAAAAAAAGCATTTTGTCCAGGCTGGACAAAATGTTTTAGCTTTTGTCTTTTGAAAGTCACAAGTCTTTTATATTTTAGCCTTTTTTCCCCACATTGTTGGTTTGTTTACATTGTTTAGATTTAGATCTATAGCTTTTTTAATTTTTGTAAATTATTTTATTTGTTTTTGTAAATTATTTTATTTGTTTTTGTAAATTATTTTATTTGTTTTTGTAAATTATTTTATTTGTTTTTGTAAATTATTTTATTTGTTTTTGTAAATTATTTTATTTGTTTTTGTAAATTATTTTATTTGTTTTTGTAAATTATTTTATTTGTTTTTGTAAATTATTTTATTTGTTTTTGTAAATTATTTTATTGTTTTTGTAAATTATTTTATTTGTTTTTGTAAATTATTTTATTGTTTTTGTAAATTATTTTATTTGTTTTTGTAAATTATTTTATTTGTTTTTGTAAATTATTTTATTTGTTTTTGTAAATTATTTTATTTGTTTTTGTAAATTATTTTATTTGTTTTTGTAAATTATTTTATTTGTTTTTGTAAATTATTTTATTTGTTTTTGTAAATTATTTATTTGTTTTTGTAAATTATTTTATTTGTTTTTGTAAATTATTTTATTTGTTTTTGTAAATTATTTTATTTGTTTTTGTAAATTATTTTATTTGTTTTTGTTTTATTTGTTATAATTATTGTTTTATTTACCTTCATTTTATTTACGATTCCTTTTACCCGGTGTGGACCTGATTGACAGGTCCTGTACACGGGACCTGATTGACAGGTCCTGTACACGGGACCTGATTGACAGGTCCTGTACACGGGACCTGATTGACAGGTCCTGTACACGGGACCTGATTGACAGGTCCTGTACACGGGACCTGATTGACAGGTCCTGTACACGGGACCTGATTGACAGGTCCTGTACACGGGACCTGATTGACAGGTCCTGTACACGGGACCTGATTGACAGGTCCTGTACACGGGACCTGATTGACAGGTCCTGTACACGGGACCTGATTGACAGGTCCTGTACACGGGACCTGATTGACACGTCCTGTACACGGGACCTGATTGACAGGTCCTGTACACGGGACCTGATTGACACGTCCTGTACACGGGACCTGATTGACAGGTCCTGTACACGGGACCTGATTGACAGGTCCTGTACACGGGACCTGATTGACAGGTCCTGTACACGGGACCTGATTGACAGGTCCTGTACACGGGACCTGATTGACAGGTCCTGTACACGGGACCTGATTGACAGGTCCTGTACACGGGACCTGATTGACACGTCCTGTTCACGGGACCTGATTGACAGGTCCTGTACACGGGACCTGATTGACACGTCCTGTACACGGGACCTGATTGACACGTCCTGTTCACGGGACCTGATTGACAGGTCCTGTTCACGGGACCTGATTGACAGGTCCTGTACACGGGACCTGATTGACAGGTCCTGTACACGGGACCTGATTGACAGGTTCTAGGCACTTGTACTGGACCTGAACCTCAGGTCCAAGCAGTTATACTGGACCTGAACTTCAGGTCCAAGCAGTTATACTGGACCTGAACCTCAGGTCCAAGCAGTTATACTGGACCTGAACCTCAGGTCCAAGCAGTTATACTGGACCTGAACCTCAGGTCCAAGCAGTTATACTGGACCTGAACTTCAGGTCCAAGCAGTTATACTGGACCTGAACCTCAGGTCCAAGCAGTTATACTGGACCTGAACCTCAGGTCCAAGCAGTTATACTGGACCTGAACTTCAGGTCCAAGGAGTTATACTGGACCTGAACCTCAGGTCCAAGCAGTTATACTGGACCTGAACCTCAGGTCCAAGCAGTTATACTGGACCTGAACCTCAGGTCCAAGCAGTTATACTGGACCTGAACCTCAGGTCCAAGCAGTTATACTGGACCTGAACCTCAGGTCCAAGCAGTTATACTGGACCTGAACCTCAGGTCCAAGCAGTTATACTGGACCTGAACCTCAGGTCCAAGCAGTTATACTGGACCTGAACCTCAGGTCCAAGCAGTTATACTGGACCTGAACCTCAGGTCCAAGCAGTTATACTGGACCTGAACCTCAGGTCCAAGCAGTTATACTGGACCTGAACCTCAGGTCCAAGCAGTTATACTGGACCTGAACCTCAGGTCCAAGCAGTTATACTGGACCTGAACCTCAGGTCCAAGCAGTTATACTGGACCTGAACCTCAGGTCCAAGCAGTTATAATGGACCTGAACCTCAGGTCCAAGCAGTTATACTGGACCTGAATCTCAGGTCCAAGCAGTTATACTGGACCTGAACCTCAGGTCCAAGCAGTTATACTGGACCTGAACCTCAGGTCCAAGCAGTTATACTGGACCTGAACCTCAGGTCCAAGGAGTTATACTGGACCTGAACCTCAGGTCCAAGCAGTTATACTGGACCTGAACCTCAGGTCCAAGCAGTTATACTGGACCTGAACCTCAGGTCCAAGCAGTTATACTGGACCTGAACCTCAGGTCCAAGCAGTTATACTGGACCTGAACCTCAGGTCCAAGCAGTTATACTGGACCTGAACCTCAGGTCCAAGCAGTTATACTGGACCTGAACCTCAGGTCCAAGCAGTTATACTGGACCTGAACCTCAGGTCCAAGCAGTTATACTGGACCTGAACCTCAGGTCCAAGCAGTTATACTGGACCTGAACCTCAGGTCCAAGCAGTTATACTGGACCTGAACCTCAGGTCCAAGCAGTTATACTGGACCTGAACCTCAGGTCCAAGCAGTTATACTGGACCTGGACCGGAGGAACTTACTGTGTCGGTCACTGGAAATATTAATTTTGCTTTTAATGTTTTTACTGAGTTGTCCAGTGTAGCATTTATCCTTTAACTGTGGGAGGACGTGGGTGTTGTCACTGTGGGAGGACGTGGGTGTTGTGACTGTGGGAGGACGTGGGTGTTGTGACTGTGGGAGGACGTGGGTGTTGTGACTGTGGGAGGACGTGGGTGTTGTGACTGTGGGAGGACGTGGGTGTTGTGACTGTGGGAGGACGTGGGTGTTGTGACTGTGGGAGGACGTGGGTGTTGTGACTGTGGGAGGACGTGGGTGTTGTGACTGTGGGAGGACGTGGGTGTTGTGACT